CCCCCCCCACCAGCACCCCCTGCAAACCACAGCATCCCCAAATCCTTTGATAGACAGATCCCACAGCACCCATAAGACCCCTCCCTCCACCCTCAAGCACCCCCTAAGTCCCCAGCATCCCCACCCATCACCCCCTACAGCCCCCCCTAGCCCTACAGCAGCCCCAGCGGTCCCATGTAAAACCTCCAGCTCCGCTGAGCTGCATTTGTGCTCCCCATCCAGTGCCCCCCTGAACCCCACTTACCCCCAGCCCCATGGGGACACAGATGCCCATTCCCACAGCTCAAGCAACGAGCAGTGACCACGCACAGGGTGGGTATTGGGGAGCCGGGGGGGAGAAAAAAGATGCTGTTGCCCTAAAAAGTGTAGGAAAGGCTTCCAGGAGCAAAGGGCTGGGAGACCGAGCAAGCAGAGGTCCCCAGAGTCACCCCCGGCATGAAAAGCTCGGAAGAAACCAGGAGCAAGGGGTCTCAGCCTCACCCAGCTCTTGGACGCAGGCTTCAGTCCTTAACTGCAATTAAATGCATTTTCAGAGAGAGCTGTTGGTTGTGACGGGCGTTTTTGGTATCTGTCCGGTCCCTTTTCAGCCTTGTTTAAGTTTTCAGCCTCAACAACTTCCTGCAGCGATGAATTCTGCAGTTTAATTAAACATTGCGAGAAAAAGTACTTCCTCTTATCAGGTTTGAATTTCCTGCCCTGTCAATCCCAGCGCGGGAAGCGGGACCGTCTCCGCATCCCGATTTTACTGCCTTCCGAGGGGAATGGGGTGAAACTCTGGGGGACGCTGCTGGGCAAGACCCCAGACCCGGTGGCTGGGGCACTGAAAGCTTTGGCCGATGATTTGTTCCAACTTGTCAGGAGCTCGCCCAGGTTCTCTGCTTTCAAGGTGGACGCATCAAAGCGAGATGGTGGTAAACGCCTGCTGACTTTGGGCTGGTATCTGAGATCTTCTGCAATCTTGGCTTGGCTGGGGCAGCTCCTCTAATTGTTGTGGAGCGCCTTGAGGAATTACAAACGGCTCGAAGGGAAACAACCTGATTTAAAAAAAATTCCTGTGGTCCAAACAAATATGCATTTCCCTGTTGCTATTAATATCTCAGACTTTGATCCTCCTCCAAATGCTAGTGCAGGCGTTTAACAGCTTGCAAATGAGCGGTCCTTTTGATTCTGGAGTGGGAATGTTTGCTTTATGAAAGGTGAAAGACGCTTTCAAATGCAACACGCTGACCCTGTTTTCCAACACGCTGTAGTGCCTTCCTAGCATTTCTCTCAACCTGGCAATGAAAAATTCATTTCCAAGTTTGGAGGGGAGGTTTGGAGTTGAGTAATGTTTGTTTTATGCAACACCTTTGGGCACAAACTCAATCCTTTTTTCTAGACATGATTTCTGGTGGAATAAGACAGACATTTCTTTCTGCCTGCTGTTCTGGGAAGCCTTGTCTTTTGCGGGTCTCTCTTCTGGGCCCTGTTCAAGCTCCCTGGTCTTTCTTTGCAGCACAAATATTGCACAGTTTGAAGGTATTGCTGCATTTGCTGCCATCTAATGGGAGAATTTAGCCTCGGCGACCTCAACTCTTTATTTTGCAAGCAAATAAAAACGTTTTTCTGCACAATCCTGCTGCCACTCGGCAAAGCAGCATCTTCTGCACATAATCCCAGCTGGTCTGATGGATGCTTCAGCGTACACGCAGCTGGGTGGCTTTGCACGGGGTCATGCAGCCAGGAACCATTGCGGACCCAGTAAAAAGAACCTTTTTGGGATGATCAGGCTGAAATGGTGCTTCTCTTATCATGGATCTGACTTGCAAAGTGTGCTTTGATTCGTATTATTATAAGATAAAACAGCAAAGCAGACAAACAACAACAAAAAAAAGCCATTGTTAGATACCCCGAATAGCGAATCTGGGCACAGCTCTGAACTGAGCCACGTGAACTCTTCCCGAGGAGCTGTGGTCTTCAGGCTGCTCCATCAGTAAAAATATTTTATAACAAAATATGGTAAAGAGGGATCAACGTGGAACGGGAGTATAAATAGAATGCATTAAGAAAAGAAAGTCTTTTAAAGATTAGTGCCAGGGGAGGATGGCCTGCGGCTGGGGGGCAGGCTGCGGGAAGAGGCTTAGGGGAGGGGGGCTTTAGTGGCACAGAGGTGCTGGAGCACCCAGATGCAGAGGAGATAACTCCTCTCTAAAAGACTTGGAAATTCCTGCATCACTGCAAAGCTGTACCCTACCTGGTGAAGCTCATAACCCTGATTTTTCTGAGCGTGAGCTTGGTCCGTCAGTGGTCTCTTTTCATCTCCATCTGCAAATCATTTCCACCGAGCGCTTTTGGGTATCACACAGAGCTGGCCCCGTTTAAAGGGGTAATTCTGTGAGCAGCAGAATCAAGGAAGGCTGCTCTTGCCTGGCTCTCTGCGTTGCAAGTCTCTCCCGTGGAGATTTGTCATTGTCTGATAAAGCCTAAACTTAAACTGCAATTTTTCCATCAATGGGGATGTTAATTAGTCTCAGTTACTCAGGCCTTTATTCACACAGAAGTCGCAATGTCTGATAGCTTTGCAGTTGCTGCTCATCGGGAACCGCTAAAAACAGCCCGTGGACTCCAAAGCTGTTTGAAGCA